TTTTGTTTTCTCATCTGTTCTTTTGCCTGCTGGAAAGTGTCTGCATCAGCATTTTGGACCAAATTCAGGTCTGCCCTAAATAGATGCAGCTTCCTTTCAATCAGTGCCATTGTGAGTGCTTATATTGGGGCTAGATGTGGCTTTTTTTAGCTGTACCGTGCTACCTACTGACTTCTGTTCATCTCTGCTTCAGTGATGTTTTTATGTACCCCTCTTAAGAGGTGTTTGAGTTCAATGCTGATGAAGTGCGAGAGCGGAGACGGGGCAGGGGGCCCGAGGGCGGCCTCGCCTCCGCGCGGCGGCACCCCGTGAGCGCGAGGGGCCGCCGAGCAGGGCGGCGCTGCCAGCATTGCGCGGGGGGACCCCGGCCGCGTTGCTGTCCTCGGGCTCAGCTCCGGCGCTGAGAAATCCCCAAGGAAATAAATCCAGGCTTTGATGAATTTAGGGTGAGTCTAGGCATTGGCCTGAGAGTCAGGTTTTCGTGCAAAACTTTGAAATCAAGTTAGAAAAATTTAATTATTTGAGATAAAAATTGGAGTAATCTTTTTTTTTTTTTTTCCCCTCAGCAGAGATGGGTTAACATTAATCCCTTCCTCTGCAAAGTGTCTGGCTGTCTGGGGTGGCCCCGTGATTGAGAAGTCCCAGGTTTTTCCCGAGTCTCCCGGTGCTTCGCTCGTCTCGGAGAGCTGCCGGTCCCTTCCCTGGGATCCGAGCTGCAGAATCCAAGCTTCTTTCCTTATCCCTCTCTGAAAAACATTTCTTCTTCTTATGGGGTTTGCAGCAGTTAATGGCATTTGCGCAACTAAGCTGTTTTACATTGGCCATAGAAACTAAATAGGAAAAAATGATTGTCCAGAGGCTGGGGTATGAGAAGATTATTTTGAAAGCGGAGGTGTGGAGCTGGCTGTTCTTTCCCACCCACGTGTATTATTGATATGATCCATCACTTTGAGGTTACCAGAAAAAGCTTATAGAAATAAATCTTTTTTTCCTTAAGTACTATAGATCCAGTTGTTGTATAAATCATATAGAATAGAAGCAGCAATCTTTTAAAGAAAAAAAGCTGTCAACATCTCTATTTCATAAATAATTGCGGGTTCCTTTCATCTGTTACTTAGGCTATCATTTTCTTAATTCCTGCTTTCTGTTCTTTATCTGACTTTTCAGTATGCAGTTAACTCTGCTTATTGTGCTTTTCATCTCTTCTACCCGAATTTCTCCAAACTCCTGTCACTTATTCAATGCCACTTCTGTCAGTTAGTTTTGCTATTGTCTGAGCGCTGCAGATCCTGGCGGGTAATTCTTCACTCCCTCTAGAGCAGCTGTAAGAGAAGAGCTGTCCTGAGCGCTGCGGTGGAAACACACAGGACCTTCTTGCAACAGGAGGACAAACCAGAAGCGCTGTGAATCCCGAGCGTTATATTCCAGTCGGAAGCGTTGTTGGAGTTTAGGACAGAGTGGAAAGATGAGGGTTTAAGGTTGCTGTTAGCTGATGACATTGATTTTATAATCAGACCGTCTGTAAATGCAAAAAGAGGAATGAGGAGGAGGTTTTCATTTGAAGTGACACTGTAAAAGAGTAAGGAGCTTAAGGTCAGTCGTTCCAAATTGATAAAAGCAGGGGGAAGGACCTCTCAGCTGAAGAATTTACCCACCAAGTCATCTTGAATTTTTCTTAAGATTTAGGTTTTTTAGATTCTTTTGAGCAGTGCTCTTGTTGCTTAGAAGGCTCGTGATGCACAGAGCTGCCCGTGGCTTCATTACAGCGTGTCTTCTCTTAGAGAAACAGAACCTTGCTTTGCAGGGAGGGGGGTTGATGTGAAAGGCAGCGCTCGGGAGCGGGATCCCGCGTGTGCCGCCGTGTCAGCCGCGGCCCCGAGGTGCCGCGTTGCGTGAGCAGCTCGTGCGCAGCCAACCCACCGTCCCTCCCGCACGGCTGTCCCACGGCCTGTTTTCTGTTTGTTAAAATGACTATATCCATTGCGGCTTCGCATACAATGATGGGGGGTTTTTTGAAATTATTTTGCACGCATCTTATATACCCCAATAGTGATAGTTTAAGCATTACCCCTCCCTGAGAAAAGGTGGTCTGTACTGTAAGTGGCTTTACCATTGTATTTCTTTTTAGCTATATTTTCTTTTAAATATTGCTGTAGTAATTCTGTCCGTCTTTAGTGGACACTGTAAAGCATCTGTAAAAGTCTGTAAAGCTTCTCCTGGTTTTAGATCGCTGCAGATTTTGCATAGCAATATAATTAAAAAAAAAAAAACAAAAAAGAAACCTCTCAGAAAAAGGTCTATATAAAGCAACCAGCACAAGGCTCTTCCTCCTTGATCCTTCTTGTGAACTTCTTCTGCGATATTTTAAAAGTTTGGCCAATACTGGAGTGCAGAAGTGCTTGGAGCGGCCTTGTGCAAGTCTGGGCTGCTGCATTTTCACCCTCCTCCCACAGTTGCCCTTGTGTTTTTTCTTGCTTTTGTTGTTGTTGTTTGTGGGTTTTTCTGGTAACCAGCCAGTGGCTGGGAAGGTGCCAGGGGTTTTGTGTGACTGCATTCAGCTCTGTTTGCACCGCTCTCTAGTCTCTTAATTACACCACTATTATCTGCTTGGTTCCTTGTCCAAACAAAAGTTCAGTTAATTCAGTGTGGTTTTCCTCTGCATTGTTGGTGTTTTTGATCATGTGCAAAGTAAGAGCTAACAAATTACTTTTGGGTGCATAAAGCACATTGCTGGGAAGTTCAGAAATCTGAAATTAGAAGAATTTTGTGTTTGCAGACTTGCACCAGCTCATGGTCTCTGTGTTTAATTAGGCTTCTAATTAGACTCCTGGCCTGATTTTGAGAAGGAAAACAGTTTTTATAGTTGTCAGAATATCATCCCAATCAACTGAAGTGATGGAGCAGGGTGCTGAAGCCCTCTGGTCAGAATCCCGTCGTCACGTCCTGATTATGACCATTTAAATGAAAGGGGCCCCATGAAACAGCCTCATCTGGATCCCAGTTAGATTTTGCAGTATAAGAGCTGTGGAGAGACTCTTGTATCAAGAGGCTGATAAATCACTTCCAGTTGCATGTAAATTCACAGTTGTGTGTGACTTGTTGCTGATGCTTTGTCCATGTGATTAATAATTTGCTTATGAGTAATTTGCTTCTTTTCTGTAGCTTTTTGATAAAATTAGACAATAGGGAGTTGAAGAACGTGATCTTCATAACTGACAATTAAATGCTTTTCTATATGCATTACTTGACCTTTTTTAATTTTATACCTTTGGTGTCCTCTCTGTCAACCCTTACACGTACTGAAAACACATGGATTGCTTTGGTGCTTTCACTTGGTGTTAAATGATGCAGTATGTGAGAGCTTTGCTTCTGTTCTTCCAAGAAGTCTTTGAATCAGTGAAGAAGGGAAGAGAAGAAAGGTTTTCCTGCAAGCTGAGATGATCATTTGTGAGAAGGCAGATTTAGTTTAACTAGATGTCGTCTCCTTCCTCCCCAGCAGCATCACAAATGCAGCATCCAGTGGAAACATTCGTCTGAACCTCGTGGCTAATTGATGCAAGACAACAGAGATGTGCAGTATTTACAGAAATACTTTTGATTCACAGACAAACAAAACAGCCTTTGCTCGTAGGTCTCTGGTATGGGTGTCACCTTGCCTCTTGGCTGAAGAAACCTCCTGCAGTGCGATAGTTTCTGCATATATTGCCAAGATGATGTTATAACAATTCCTGGGCATTTTATATGATGGGCCACCTGTTTACAGACTGTGCTTAAACTGTTTCTTTCCTGATCTCTGGTTTGCGTGGACACCTCCCAGTACCAAGGGTCACTGCAATCACTGCTGTTCGCCACCCAGGCCTTCAATGGCAGGAAGCGTTTGCAGGGACGGGGAAGGAGGGCGGCCTGCGCTGGCTGTGCTTCGCACACTGGGCAGGAGGGAATTCCTTGTTCAGTGCAGAGACTCCCGGGGAAAGTAATGCGGCGTTGGAGGTGTCACCTACGGGGATGTCCTTGGCGGGTCCCTGCTGCCTCACGCTGTGTTTTCGTGTGGCCCCTAGCACGGGAGACGGTGCCGGCAGCGCAGCGGGAGGTCCAGAGCCAGAGCCCCGGCATTAACTGCGCCGTCTTCTCTTGCTCGCTTTGCTCTTACAGTTTACATTTTTACGGTCTTACCTACAAAAGTTGGGTGTGCTTTCCACAAGTGCATAGTAAGCCTAAATAAGGAAAGGTATTGCCTGCGAAAGGAGCTGAAAGCAGGATGGTTTACAGCTCCAAAGGAGCTGCAGATAACCCAGGCTGCCGGCTGCGAGGACACCCACGTTAAGGAGCGGAAAAGGCGGTTGGGGCAGCAGCCCCCGCGCAGGTTGTGCCAAGCCAGCCCCGCTGCGCAGGGCTGCACGGAGCAGCGCGGGCCGGGAAGCGGCTGCGGGCAGCGCGCAGAGCCCCGGCTTGGGCTCGCTCGCAAACGGCCCGTAGCGATGCCGCGTCCTCCGGCAGGCTGCAGGAGGTACTGGAAACACCGTTAACCCATGCTCCTGAAATAAGGGTGCAAAGGCACTGAGAAAAAAAGTACTTTTGGTGCTAAAAATAATAAAAAAGGAGTTAAGTCTATTTCAGATAACAAAATAATATACATGGATATCAGCTTTTTGCTGTGGTGAAAAAAAGTCCTCCCCAACTGGTCAGCGCAGAGGAGTGGGAAATTTCCATGCCTTGCGTAAGCGTCTTGTAAAGTTTCCAGCAGGTGGGAATTGGTGGGAATTGTGTGTGTGTAAGGTACCTACGGGAGAGCAGTTACGCTTACGGGCTGTTTCTAGGCAGACGGCTGCAGGGCCGCTCGCTGACCCCTTCAGCCTCGGCAGGTGAGGACTCGCAGAGCTGGAAGCAGCCCTCCAAGCTGCCCGCGCCTGCGGATCCTCCGTGACGAGTTACTGCACCGCGGGCGCGGTTCTTCTGGTGGTTGTTTTTGTTCTGAAAGATGTTTTATTTTTGCTTTCCAGGATTCTTGCTTTTTAAAGACTATTGCATGAATGAGATCGATGAGGCTGTCCCGCAGCTGAAGTTCTACGAAGAGGTAAGCTGCCCCCGAGCTGCCCAGCACCAGCGTGCCCATGTCACCGGGCGCCCTCGGCGCTCTGCTTCCCTTGAGCTGGTCAGGAGATAGGAGATCTAAATTAACACTCATCAAAAGTCTCTGCTCACTGTCTCTTATACCTTTAAAAGTTAGGCCTGAGGCGTATGCTGAGAAATGGGACGTGTTTTTGATCTTCACTTGCAAAGAGGGCGATAAATCTCAGTGCAGCTACAGGTGCTTAGATGAAGTTGCAGGGTCCTTGGTGTTGCCAGTTTTCCCTGGAATGGCAGCAGTGCATTCCTTTGCAGAAGACCTGAAAGCAAGGCCAGGGGCTTTTCCTTATCGCTGGCGGTGTCCGTTACGCGTGGAGAAGATTCTTCCTTTAAGGTCAGGAACTGCAAAACCAGACGAGCACCGTGTGTGGCGCTGCCCCGAAGCCGGGCGGAGGCAGCGCGCGCCGCGTCCCACGCGCTCCTGCATCGCGGGCATCGCCGATGGCGGTTGCCATGGAGATCCCAGGCAGCTCCCAGCCCGCTCCATCCCTCCGGCACGGAGGAAGAGGAGTTGGTGGAAGGGAATCGCGCTTCCTCCTCCTGCTCCTCGTCCCCTGCACCCTGAGGGCACCCCGTGGTCCCCATGCTCCCCTGGCCACTGCTGCACATGGCACCAAGGACTGAAGCCCCTTTTCTACCATGGGAGGTGCTGCATTTGCTCGGGACACGGTGGCCACTGCTGCCCAGCGCGGGCGACCACCGCTCGGCCACCCCCGGGTTGCACCAGGAGCCGCCAGCTCCCGGTGCCGGCGGGCGGGACAGAACTCAAAATAGGCCCCACTGGCGTCAGTTGGGAGATAAACCCTCAGCAATATCCCATTCCCCCTCTCAAATTAGATACTCCCTTCTCATACAGAGCAATCTTTTTCTGCTGTTCCCATCTTTTTATGTATTGAACGTATCACTGTCATCAGTAATCAGAAATGCAAGTTGTTTGCGACTTGTATCTTGCAGCAAGATATTTCCAGCTGCCTCTTTATCTCTGAAACAATTCGAAATTGTATTTTTAGTTATTAGCAAAGTGCTGCCTAAAAAAAATTTAAATGCTTCGTCATGCACTTAGAAAAATCCCCTTAAAGATATTTAAAGAGAAGTTCATTGCGTTTTCTTCTATGACATACTGGATACAGAAGGGGTTTTTTTTTAATATTTGATTTGCTTACTGCATTCATTACATGTAGAATAATATGAGTACACTGTTACATTAAAAATCGCTTGATGCAGAAGGGCTCTGTACTCCAGGGATTTCATATTATTGCAGCTTAAGTCACGATCAGGCATTTAGCTGGAGGAGTGATTCATCCCAATCTGTTTTATAAAAAAAAGAAAATACACAAAACTTTGCTTCTAGCTGCGTGAACACTAATGCATTCTAATTTGAGGATTGAGCAGCGGCTTTGTTAGGCACTTGTTGAAGGTGAGCTGGGGCTCGCGGGAGGCGCTGGCAGGCAGGACGGCCCTGCCAGGGAGGCTGCTCCAGCGAGGCAGCTCCACGGGCAGCAGTGCCCGTCCCTTGGCCCTGCCCGTCCTCGTGTGCTTTGGCACGGGGCAGCAATGTCCTCCTTGATGAATGAGATGGGGCGGAGTGTTCATCATCCCACCTCATAGCTCACGTGTTTGAGGGGGAAGCGAGGCAGGCGAGCAGCCTCGCTGGCTGTGGCCTCAACACGAGTCACTTCTGTGCCAGAGGGGCTCGTTTGGCCAGGTGGGAGAAACTCCAAGTCCTCAGGAGGAACTTGGTGCAGTTTTAGAGATCGTTGGGAAGTGCAGAGGACAACGAAGCTGCATTTGTTGGGGGGAGGCTGGCGCGGTGGCCGCGCGGCCCTGGGACCCCCTGGGACCGGGGGCCTCTCGCTCCCAGTGCCTGCTCAAGAGAAGGAAGGAGAGGACGCTGCGCTCCAGTAAGACAACCTGATATGCACCTGGGTTCCCCCAGTTCTTCTAATTATTTTTGAAGCATTGCATTAATTAAAAAAAGAAATGCTTCTTAGTGTTTTGCATCATTTTAATGTGAAATTGCTGGGAACAGAGAAGGCATCTCAGGTGGCGGGCCTGGGCGGGCCGGTGGCGTTGCTGCAGCCAGCAAGCAAGGGCCCAGCAGCCAGAGGGGCGGCGAGCAGGGCGCCGCAGGGCAGGTGCCCCCCGAGGCAGCCCCGTGTGGGCTCGGCCCGTGCCAGGCTCCGCAAGAGCGGCAGCAGCGAGCAGGGCTCGTCCCGGAGCGGAGCAGCGGGTCGGCGCGTGCCGCACGGCCGAGGCTCTTCCCGAGCTCCCGCGCAATTTGCACTCTCTTCCTCCCGCCGCTCCTAGAGCAACTCTTTTCCCCAAATATGCTCCTAAGGTGACGTTCCCCCAGCCAGGCTGCTGCTAGGAGAGGCTGACGGTAGCTGGTGAGTGCCACGCGTCGGGAACGGGCTGCTCTGAGCGCTGCGTCGCTTCTGTATTGCAGATAAAAGAGTACGAGAAGCTGGACTCCGAGGAGGAGCGTCTTAGCAGGAGTCGGCAGATTTATGACACGTACATCATGAAGGAGCTGCTGGCGTGTTCACACGTGTGTATCAGCTCGGCTCGCCTCCTCTGCGCGCTGCTTTAGTGGCTCCCAAGCTGTGCTAGTTTGAACTAACCTGCATCGCCCAGGGAGCAATCAAAACTATTGCTGAAGGAATAGGTTCTGCAAATACTTGCTGGGGGTTTCAATTTCAAATTGAAACCCCCAGGCTGAATTGGTCTGAATTCAGCCCTTTTTTTTCCCAAGAATTAAGTGGGAGGATCCAGTTTTTATTAAATTTGGTGATATGCAAAGGAAATACTTGGAGAATTTATCTATTTTATATATTTTCTTTAAAGCTGTATTTCAAAGTAGGATAAATGAATGTGGATAGCTTGTGTGTCCGTACTTGAGTGCACCCAGGCATCCACACTAATGTAGATATATAGATAAATAAGTAGAAAAAACAAGTCACCAAACCCTGCAACAACCCCGAAAGCTTAGAGCAAAAGTTGAGGTTTGGCTAAGGCTGCTTGCAGAAAGACTCGTTTAGAACACGTTAGATAGCAGGCAGTCTTTCCTACTGTGCTGGGGACAGTCGGCTCCTTCGCCGCAATACGATAAATTGCAGACCCGGGGCCGCATGGTGACGTGGTGACAGATGCAGCTTTGTTAAGGCCAGTGAAAGCACACATTTACTGCAGCTCAAGTTTGGCCTTGTGGACATACAGCTAGCACTGCTTAATTCGGTTTTAGTTTTGTTTTGAGAACAGTTTGCAGAGTGTTTCAGCCGCGTTGTGTGGAGCCTGTCGTTGTTGTCCCTTGGGGTGACGAGGCCACGTCCCCCCCGTGTCTGCAGCTGCCCCCACAGGCTGCATGGAGGAGCATCCTGCTGCCCTCCCTTCACCTTCCTCTTCTCCTGGCTTTGGCAGAAGGGGTTGATAGGTGATTGAAAGGGGTTGATACTGCATTCAGCACACCTAGTGCAAGCTTTCTTGCATTCATTTTGAAATACATTTATTTCTCATACAATTAAAAGAATGACAGTGCTGGAGACCTTAAATGAAACTTCTGACATTTCCAACTGTTTCCTTTTCTTTCTCAAAAGCCTTTCTCAAAACAAGCTGTAGATCACGTGCAAATGCATTTAGCCAAGAAACAAGTGCCAGCCAGCCTTTTTCAGGTAGGTTGAGACAGTCTCGAGTGACCGAGTTTTCCTCATTTGTTTGACAGTGGGTGACTTTGTGCATGTTTGAGGAGAGAGAATTAAGAAGTTTTGGTAAATATTCCTTTATGTGATAGAAAAGCATTCTGACATCTTTCTCTAAGTTAACTACAAATGAGATTGCTAGTTTGCTTTTCCAAAGCATTTTAAAGCACACTTAGGAAAACATAATATACCTTGGTATGTGGATAGAAAGAGTTTTTAAATTTGTGTGTTTTTAGCCTTTCGATGGCTTAGAATAAATCACTTTACCTTGGGAAGCTGCCCTTCCTGTCAGTATGAACCAGTCCTAAAGTGAAGGATTGGCCCGAGTGCTTAAGTAGCGTGAAATCTTTGAAAACAGTGAGACTTCGTGTAACAGTGGGCTGTGTACATGTAAATGTGTACATATTTCCTTTAATTCTCAGGTAAATTAATGTGTAGCTGATGGTGGTGAGGAATTTGCCATTTGCACTATCTTGTGTGTTTTTCTGACTTTTCAAAAGGCAAAATTGAGTCAGAAGTTACCTTTTGAAATAGGCGCATCTGCCCCTTTTAAATTATGGTACTTTTCTTAATCTTTCCTAAAAAACCCCAAAAACCTAGAATCTAGAAAAAATCTGGAAGTATAGACTTTGCTTGCACTCAATTTAAATAGAGAAAGAAATAATATTGTGGCTTATTTGCTGAATTATTCATCTTTTATGTTTTAGTTTTCTTCAGAAAACAAAGAAATGAGAAAATAAATATTTATTACACGGTTACAGCTCTAACAGAGGTTGATGTAAGATAAGAAATTCAGACTGATGCTGACTTTATAGTTCAGATGAATTAAGCCGGTGTGTTTTTGCAGATAGGAGCCTCCTCAGCCACGGGAGGGTCTGGGCCTTATTTTCCTTTGCCATACGTTAGAAGTTTTTGTATATATTTGTATGCGTTGTGACCATGTGCACACTGCCCCGGCGAGAAGAGCCTCCCCGTGCGCTGAACTGTGTTTAATGCTGCAATTAGGGGGCTGTCAAACTGATAACCACGCTGCTGGGCTTGGATCCCGCTGCTAATTGGGGTGGGATTTGAAATCACTGCATGCCGTAACACATCACGGGAAAGCATTTCTCTGCAGAAAGCCTCGCTTAGGAATTGAAGGTGCTGATACCTTAGTAAGGGCAGGGGGGAGAGAAGCGCAAGAGAGATTAAATGTGGCCCTGTGGGGTGCATAGGCTGCAAAGGAGTGAGTATGTGCTGAGTTTAAACGTATATGAAAGGAAAGAAACTTTCAGTTGGGTGATGCGTTTCTCTTGGAAAGCTCCGGTGTTTGCCTCCTTCCGTTGCCCGCAGACAGGTGTTAATGCACAGGGCTCATACAGCCCCCCGGGGAGAACTATGTCTCGTCTATCTCGTGAACATACTGCATGTTCAGCACGAATGCGTAGGATCCAGACGCTAAATGTAGCCCAAAAGCCTCGCTGAGCCTAGTCCAGGGGGGCTGCTGTCCGTGCTGGGGGTGCAGGGTGCCCGCGTTCCCCGTGCACGGCGCGTTCTCGGCACCGTGCACGGCTGGGCGCTTTCATGTGACTGCACACCGGCGTTGAAAATTTAGTGGTAGTCGGAGCTTCTGATGGTTTTGCAGCTATAACCCATGAATGGTATTTAATGGGTAGTATTGCATAGTGAGTTTAATGTGTGCTCAACTATTAAATGTGTTTCTTAATCCTTTCTAGCCGTATATAGAAGAAATTTGTGATAGTCTCCGAGGAAAAATATTTCAAAAATTTATGGAAAGGTACGAACATAATGTATCGCATGAACTTTCTACCTAACCTAGGAGGTAGTCGTGTTGTGTGTTGCTATTAAAAATGCTTAGTAAACTTAATTTGACGATTTGTTGATATATAATGAGCAAGCTGCAAATGTAAAGCAAGCTTTGTGTATACTGTGCTAAATGGCAGGACGCGTTGGTGACAATTCTGAAGGTAGTTGGAGATCATTCTACTGCTGTGTGTACCAGTAAGACCAGACTGCTTGCAGTTTGATCTTAAAGGTTTTAAAAATCTCAAATTGTGTTTTAATGGTATGTTTTCATGAATAACAATCTCTTTTGTGTGACTGAAAGACACAGAAATTCTGTTTTGTATCAGCATACCTTTTATGAAGAGTGTCTTTTTTTTAATATAAGTAGTTAATAAATTACTTGGAAATAGGAAAACTTTTTGGCAACATCTTCTAATAATACTGTTTTTTTTTTCCTGTTTTAAAATAAAAACAGTTTAAAATGTTCCTTTGGTTCATTAACATACCTTGAGCTGTCTGTTTTATTAAAATTATCTTTTTCTTTCTGTTATTTAAATGTTTGTTACTTCCAAAGTTAGTTTGTTGCTTAAAAAAATGTAAAACGGAGTCTGAATAATAAAAGGAAACATTGAGCACTTACTGTTTCAGGGCTTATCTCATATAGTTTCTTTCTCTTACAAGGATGCAAAGCACTAAGTAGGCACCATTAAGTGATTATTGGGGGGAGAGATTACAATTGTTGATAAATAAGGTTATTGATCACTAAATAGCAGTCCCACAGCTCACCCTATAGTAAATTCTACTTTCAGTATCAGTGTTGATGTTTCCTGTCATGCTGTAGAGTCAGGGAACTTTCTAACTTTTTTTCTTTTCCCCTACAGTGACAAGTTTACTAGATTTTGTCAATGGAAAAACGTAGAACTAAATATTCACGTAAGTATCTACAAGCGTATTTATCTTGTCAGAGGCTGATATGGGAAAGAAAATGTTCTTTTGAACGCTGGTTCATAAAAGGCCTTATTAAGAAGTGCAGTGAACGTTGCTGTTCTATTCTTAGATGTTCAGTTCTTAACAATTCCTTTCTGGACATCCTTTCTGCCTGTCTTGAGCTAATAGCCTTACCATTTTATAATAGCTGTAAGAAATTGAAGTGCTAGAAGTGCTTCTTTAGCAACCCCACGCCCTCCTCCCTTCTTTTTCCCATTACAGTTCCGATATTGTCTCCTGTTTCTGAAACTTAGCTGCTGCTTTGTCCTTCCACATGCCTCTCGTGCAGCTGCTTTGTCTGTAAAAACAGCCATCCCCTCTGCAGAGTGAGACTGTGCCAGTGGCTTTGCTAACAACGCTCCCTATTTTGTCTTACTGGTTTTTGTTGCTCTCTAGTACTTGCAAGTATGTTGAAAAATAAACATTTAAGGTGCTGCTTTTTCTAAAGAAAGGGTATATAAATGATAATGGTTAAACCTTTAATTCATTAGTAGTTTATTTAAGAGATTTTCGCAGTCACTTTCATAATATTGAAAAATGAGCCTTGTTTTTTGTACTTACAGCTGACCATGAATGATTTTAGTGTACATAGAATAATTGGAAGAGGGGGATTTGGTGAGGTGTATGGCTGCAGAAAAGCAGACACTGGAAAAATGTGAGTATATGAGCACTATATTTTAAAGATAATTGTTAACTCTGAACTATGCAAGAAATCCTTCCAATAATTTATTAAAAAACCACTGCCAAGCAGTGTCACATTACTGTTTACTTCATTGGAATTATTTTTATTTTTTGCCAAGAGGGTTTGATTCCTGGATCATCTTTAAGTTCTATTTGATATTTGATTCTGTCATGTCTCAGGCAGCGAGTACTCTGCAGCACATCCTTCATTTAATTGGTCTTGTCCAAATTAACGGAGACTGTACATGCGTTTAAAATGAAGTATGTGTTTAAATGATTTCCTGGATGGGAGCCTGACAGCGCAGAACAATGTTCTTGTGGAAAGTGGTGGCGTGTGAGGTGTTAGCCCTCCCCTGCTGAGGGCTGCTGCCCTTGCCGTGCAGCCTGGCACGTAGCTGCTGCTCCCCTGCCCATGGGGGTGACGTTTCCAGCCCACTTGGAGCTACCTCCGTTAAGGTAGATGGTAGCCGGGCAGATGGCAGGTTGAGCAGGTGGAGAGGAGTCACCGAAGGTAAGGCTAAAACAGCACGGGAAGAAGACCTCAGTGCTCGTCAGTGACTGGCATCGTGCAGATTCTGCATACGGCCTTCTGCACTTGTAGGCTGAACGGAGCTTTGGCTCTCGTGAGCGCCCATTTTGGTGGCAAAGGCAGCGATGCTTGCTTCTCTTGGCACGGCTGTAGTGTCAGTGCTGGAGCTCTGCTTAGCAGAGCTCCAAGGGGGAACGCAAGATCAAGCGCTGTCAAGTTTGGTTTTCTCCTGGTGTTAGCATTCACACGCTTCCACTCCTAATAACAGATTTCAAGTTTTAGGCATAATTATCCCATTAGGTTGTGTTTTGACCATTTATGCACTTGTTTGTCAAATTATTCTTGGTGTTTTTTTCCTTTCATCTTGCACTTCTAACAACTTAGAGCACAATCCTTACACATTTCTCTTCTATATGAGTGTGGCACGTTTAAAGAGCCAAGGCTCTGGAGCTTTAGCTGGCTTCACTGGTAATTGTGTATGCATAGCATCCTTGATAAAATTCTGAGCTATTGATAAGTGGGAGACCTCTGAAAGTTACTTTTATTCTCAATATTTTTGCAATGACTTCAAGTATACATCCCCTTACTGCTACTAACAGTACTGTGTTTTTTCTTGCTTTGGTACTTCTGTTCACATGCAGTTCCTTAGTTTGTCTGTGTACAGAGCCAAGCATTTTATATAGCTTGAGTCATGCTAAATAGACACCTGTCCTGAAGAGGTAGCTCTCAGCTTCCCAGTCGTTCTGATGCCCAACTTTTCTGCGGCAGGAGGTAGATGGGTCTTGGGCCTAGGAGGGTGAGCGGAGGACACGTTTTCACAAGAATAAGTAGAGTGAAGGAAAGTGAACTGCAGGAAAGCCAAATTTTTCACACTTGGAGTGAAACCTGAGATTAAAGCTCAGTTTCTGGGTAGAGGTTTGGTTTATTTTTTTCTTAATCCAAACCTGTTTACCCATCCCTAATCCAGATCCCGTCCACTCTAGATGGCTGCCTCTGCTGCTCTTACTGCCTGCAAGGAGCTTGGGAAGCCGCCCCTCCAAGGTAAACGCCGTTGGTGTTGCACTAACCCACCAAGATACACCTGAGGCTTCTTCCACATCACCTCCTTCAAGGACATGCAGAGAGGGGCAAGAAATGCAATGCAGGAAGCAGTCTGAAGGGAAGGAGAGCAGGGCATTTTTCTCGGCACGTCATTTGGTGTAGGAAGGACTGACACGCTGTATTTCAGTCAGCGTGAAATGGCCCCAGTCACCCCCTGGATCAGTGAAGCCGAAGCGCAAGTGAAGGGTAGCCTGGAAATGCTGCTTGTGGCTGTTGGCAGGGTTCTTAGCGAGAACCCATGCCTTGAATGTTCCCGGGGTTTAGGAGCTTGCCATTCCAGTGCGTTCGCTCTGGCTTTGGGGGGCACGGCAAGCGGTGACGTGGCTCGTGCAGGGAGCGCTGGCGATGACACGCAGCGAGGAGGTGACATGAGGCTGTGTCACCTTGCTTCGTGCAGAGCCGCCGTGCCGTGCCGTGCCGTGCCGTGCCGTGCCATGCCGTGCCGGCAGCACGCGCTGCTGCCCTGTGGAACGCGGCACTTCCCAGGGACTGCTTTGAAGGAATGGCCTCGTCCTGCAAATCCATGGCTGCTGCTGCCTAGAAATCGGCTAGAGAGAAACTAAACATCGCTCTATGTCATTTGCTGCCTTTGCCTCATAGGAGGCTCAGCGAACATTTTGGAAAAATACCCACTGACCATGACATATCTTGTTGGGTGATTGTTAGGGTGACACTTTCTCATACAGAGCTTTACTGCTCTGTAAACTGTAGCTTTATTGTTCTAACTGCAGTGGTTTAGTTAAAAGAACGGAGGATAAAAAAAGCCATGCAATCTTCATCCTTGCATGTGTGGAGTGGGGACCGTGTGGGACGGGGCAGGAGCTGCCCCCCGTGGGCAGGACTGCAGTGGGGAAAGCAGCGGGCACCGTGGGGCTGGGAGCCCTGCGAGGCGTCTGCAATAGCCACTCCTGAGCTGTGTGCAACGCAAGCGGTGCCGGAGGATCGAAAAGCTTTCTGGAGTACATCCCAGCATCGTTTGGGAGGAGAATGCAAACTGCAGGGAAACATTAAAAACGCAGTATGTGCTTAGGATGTTACTTTCCCAATAGAGTTGAAACTCAATGGAGGTATAATGGGATCTGTGTTAATTCAAACTGCAAATTCTTGCTTAAAGGTATTGGAGAATGGACCTGTGATGCTTAATTCCCATATCGTTATGGTTTCTTCCTGCTGGACTACAGTCTATATGTTTAAGGCTCTTTCTTTGCTAGGTAACTTCTAATGAAAGTTGTCTTTTCTTTCTGTGGTATTTTGAGGGATTTCTTGTTTGGTCATGTAAATTTTTAAAGAAGCTCCATACAGGCTACTGTAAATATACACTGCATAACTGCTTGTAAAAAGTACTGTGCATATGAGGAACCTTTTTCCTGTGCTTTTTCTGAATGGTTAATATTTTCAGGTATGCAATGAAATGTTTAGATAAGAAGCGAATCAAGATGAAGCAAGGAGAAACATTAGCCTTAAACGAAAGAATTATGCTGTCTCTTGTCAGCACAGGAGTAAGTATCCTTGATTTGGTTTTCTTCTTTTACTTTTTGTACGTAATAAAACCCATTACGTATAGTACATATTTCATTAATTCAGTTGTGTGACATGCAGAAATATTCAACAGGCTCTGCAATGTGCCAAAGTAAAGATAGAAAAATACGCTTGCTTTTCAGTTTGGGTGCATGTAGAAATTAGCCTCTCCAATAGAAAGGCTTGAGGAGGTACCCATTCCTTAGCTGATTGTCTTATTTTTTTACCATCTGAGTTTTTTTATAATTCCTGTAGAATTTTGAAACACATTTGAAACTTTTCCAAAAGTCAGTCTGAGGTGGCTTGAAGTCTGAGGTGGCTGAGGGGCCTGTCAGTCTGAGGCGGCTTTGCCACAGGCCTCCTTGAAAATGGAGCTGGAGAAATGGTTGAAAAATGTTCCTTTAGTCTGTGAAATGAACAGTCAGAGCAGTTTAGCCAGAGTTGGGCTGGATTTATCAATTAGACTTTTGAATCAAGTTTTTTTTTTTTTTTCTATCAAAGATGAATTGCAGCTTATCCAGCAGTGTCAGGATTCGTGAAGGAGTAAAATTTGTAGTGCAGGCTAGGCAAGAAATCAGACAAATTAATGATAATTCTGTGTTTGATTTGTGATCCTTAAGCTTCAGTTCTGAACATGAGTTTTCATGTGTAGTGGTTCAGGATTCTTCACGAGGCTGCTGGTGGCTGGAGCCGGCGAGCGCTCTGCGGGAGCGCAGCTCATCCGTAGGCAGGAGAGGAGGAAGGCAGACCTTCCTTTCCTTGCTTTTGTTTTGGTCAGGGTTATCCGCTCATTACAGCCCAGCTTCTCCTCAGATCCTCAGAAGTTTGAAAAAACATTTGAAAAGGAGAAATATCCCTGCCGTTTCCTCCCAATTTCCTCTTTAATTCTTCAAAGGTGAAGAGGGATTTTATACAAAACGCTGTTGTTCAGGTTGGAAATACCTGTCATTGCATCACAGTCTGGAGCGTCCTGAATACGCAGCATTAGAAGGCGTTTGGGAAGGGTGCAGCGAGGCAGCTCGTCTCGACGTGGTGCCGGACCCGGTGAGGCTGCGCGGGCCGGGCTCCATCCGCGCGCAGCTGGTCGTGGAGCCGGGAATCCCGCTGTCCCGCGGAAGCGCGCAGTGACAGCTGTGCACATTGCACATACATCTGAGTCATCTCTCTTTGGTAACCCACCTAAAATCCTGACGCTCGCAGCTGCGCCTTCAGTCAGGAGCTCCCGCCCTGGCGGCTGTGCCGGAGCGGCCGTATCCCGGTGTCCCGGCGGCCAGGGCACCGCTCCGTCCGGCTGCAGCAGCACACAGCCCTTCAGCACCTCTGGGAATTCGCCGGCTTGGGATTGTTCTTGTGCTCTTTCTCTTCTTGAGAAGAACAGGCACTTTGTCCTCACGTGCCCCAAGATTGGTAGGAGTCTTGAGTTCCATGGAAAAACAGCACCTGCTCCCAGATTCTTGCAGGGGCTGCAAGGACCCTCTGCTGACACGGCAGACGAAACCGCAGCGCGGTAGGAGCAGAGACTTCCCCGCGTGCAGAAGGGATGAGCGGGACAGCACTGCTGTGAGCAGTGGCCCCTCCGTGGTCCTGCTCTGACACTGGACGGTCTGAAGTCTTTTAATACGGCACCATCTTTAAAACATTGCCCTCCTACAGTTCATGCCAGATATTCTCACTCTTCTCCTTCCATACAGTGGATAAAATTTGCCTTCTATTATTTATTTTGGACTTAATGCAAAATTGTTTAGATGGAATTGTTTCCAAAATATTCTTCCTTCACATATTGTCACACTCCTGTTTATTTTTTTTTTTTTTCAGATCAGAAGTGTAACTAAAACATAGTATTAGAAATATTAGTCTCTTGGGAAATTTGTGTTATTGCTTTATCGTTCATTTAAGATAAATGTATTTCATTTAAGGTAAATACTTTTTGTACTTTTTTATTGTTATGCTGGAAAATACTCATTTTCTGACATAAGAACCACTGCAAAATATGTTATGGCACCATTACAAATCTCTGCTCTCTGTTGAGCAGTGAAGAGGTAGTGATTCAATTAGAAAGGTTTACACTAAAATGAATTATTCATCACACTTAGGCTTGCAGGTTTCTCTTCTTTGGAAAAAAAAATGGATTGCATTAAAATCTAGGCGCTTGGTGCTCTGGGGTAGAAGCACTTTTGTTTTTCTGTGTTGTGGTGTTTAAATTCTAGCAGTAAATCCTGCTAGGTGCTTTGATTGCTGTAAGGGTCTGGGCGCTTGCTTGCGGTGTTGTTGGACATGGGGCTGACTGGGGAGAGGAGCCGAGCCCGGCCCCGTGCTGCCCTCGGCACCTGCCTTTGGAACCCGCCTGAGGATGGCATTGCCTTTGGCATCTCCTCTGTTACCTGACTCACAGTCTTGATTGCTGAGCCTAAACCTAAACGTTTTCTCTGCCCTTGGGAAAGCCATGTGGATCAGACACAATCAGAGGAGGGTTTTTTTCTGAGCTGCTGTGAAGCTTGTTACTTTTAAAGTATTTTTCCTTTATGTCTAGTACTAGCCCAGGTAAGTAGTTCCAGAGAATCTTCTGCAGCTGGCATTCCTTAGAGGGTAGTTATGCTACCTGCATTTCATTTTGTCTTTGATTCATTGTTTTTTATTTTCAAAATTAAACCTGATGGCAAATTTAAGACCTCTAAACTGTGAACCATCAGGGTGTGTAGCTTAATAAACAGCTTGTTTTAACAAATTGTTATGAATATTGGCAAATATCATAGGAAAAATATAACATGCGTTTAGGTTCTGTAAATAGTACTCTGTTTATCCCTTGGTGTAAACTGTTTGCTCGTTCCCTTCCTAGGACTGTCCTTTTATAGTGTGTATGACCTATGCCTTCCACACCCCTGACAAGCTGTGCTTCATTCTGGACCTGATGAATGGTGAGTGAGGCTGGGGCCGGACAGGGGAAACTGAGGCAGCCAGAACACCCACTCGAGAGCAGGAGGGGCCAGGGGACCCAGACCAGCCATGGTGTGGAACAGGCTGAATCATCCCCCTTTCTGTGACACTAGCACGTTTAAATTAAGAGGAGATGTTAGGCTGGATGCTTAAGGAGAGAATGGTCACATGGAGGAAGGTATGAGGAGATGTAAGTGGTAGGATATGCAGGTACAAAAGTAAAGTGCTAATTGAAAGCCTGCTTTAAATGAATGTGTAAAGAGTGCTGCTGCTTAGAAGAAAAGAGCTGGGAGAAGCATTTGCCAAAAGGAAGAGCGGATTTCCAGATGCTTTAGTGTGGCTCTGGTGAGGAGGCCCTGGCAGGGCAATGGGCAGTGCCGAGGGGAAGCTCCTGCAGCGCTGACCGCAGAGGATGTCCCGTGGGATGCTCCCATTTGGACTGTGGCAAGGTCCTGCAGCGAGCACCCGGGGCTGCTGGGCTGGGTTTACACATCCGTGCTGCAGAGCGAGGCGTCTGAGTGAGAAGTGGGGCTCAGCCCCAGCACGCAGCTGACACCGGCTTTGCTGTTTTGCATGTGAGGAGTCTCATTAAAAGCTAAGCAGTAGGTCAAATTCAAATATTTGGTTGATTATTTTAAATTCATGGCTTGATCAGAAATTGTGTTCTTCGAAAATTTGCTCCTCTTTGTGCTAATGGTTTGGATTAGCTCATGCAGGGATGTTGCATTGTATCTATACTTTGATTTAAGAAGTGTGAAAACATCCCCAGTGTGAATATTTGTACATGCTAATTTATTCAGTTCTGCAGAAATTGGTATCTATGACTGAAGTTTACTTGCTGTGAAAATCCCTTCCATTAAGACTCAGTTGCTGGGTCATTGACTGAATGCAAACATGGACAAGATAAATGTGTTTTACATGAAGTTCCAAATAGATCATTTTTTCTTCCTCAGATACTTTATGGGGATGTATTCTTGCAGAGTAGTCTTGCCCATGGTTGAGTGCACAAGCTCTTGAATTCAGCACCTGAATCTCATTGTGTTTGGTTATGAAAACTTGCAATTGCTCTGCTTCCCACTGCTCCCCATTTGCTCTTTTCTCCCCATTCCTTGTCTTGCCACCCTTCAGTGCAGCAAGATTTTAATCTTCTTTTAACTGTGTCCCAATTCTTCTAATTTTAGGAGGAGATTTGCACTACCACCTCTCCCAGCATGGAGTGTTTTCTGAAAAAGAAATGCGGTTTTATGCTACTGAAATCATCCTGGGCTTAGAACACATGCACAATCGCTTTGTCGTGTACAGAGACTTAAAGGTAATTGTTAACCCAGGGGCTCCTTTTGCATAGGTTGTTGTTAGATAGCAACCGACAATCCAGAAATGCCAAGAAGTTAAAGGAAGTTCTTGTGTACACCCAGGATCTTACCTGAATTCTGCTCTTGGCAAGGATCCAGATTCTGTGTTTCACTTCTTGTTTGAATTTCTAGGAGTTTCTTTGTCATCAAAGGAAAAATACTGAGCCGATTTCTGTCTCTGTTTATGCACTTCTAGCCTGCAAATATCCTGTTGGATGAACATGGGCACGTCAGAATATCAGATCTCGGGCTGGCCTGCGATTTCTCCAAGAAGAAGCCCCATGCTAGTGTGTAAGTTTTAAGTGAGCTGTGTTGCACATAAAATTGCTAAATAAATTCTTTATGTGTTCTTTTTTATTATTTAACTTTGCCTAAAGGAAAATAACACTTGTATGGCATAGACTTTCTCTGTAACAAAGCTTTGCTGGAAACATTAATAGGTTTCTCGGTTTCCCTTTTCTGCTTTCCTGCACAGTTGTAGCAGCTGCTGTGTAGGCACGGCTGGAAGATGACACATTATTTCAAGATGATTCATTGTTCAGAGAAGATAAAAACTTGCCTGAGTTAAAGTTCACATTTGTTTTAATTGTCCTAAATGGATAATTAAATATTCTGAAACTGACTAAAAGCCAGGCTTTATTTTCTCTTTCTGTTTCTGGATTTTTCTGTAACTTCAGGATTTTTTTTTTTCCGTCTCTTTCTATCTCTTGACATCAGGTCCTAACCGGGATCTGAATTGTGTCACATGTGGACTCCATAACTTCTCTGGCATGTAATGTTTTTAGGTTCTCGTTTGCCCTGATTTAGTCTCAGAACATATGCAGGAAAGGTTGATCCTGTCATTTTTCTTTTACAAAAAAGATTTGCACTACAGTAGTTTCTGGGAAAGTTTATGCTTTCCAGTCAATCAGAGCTAAAAGCAGTGCACGGGAACTTCGCTGCTGCGTGTCCAGCGCTCACCGTGTTCTGCCGGCTGCTTCTGTTTGTTAACCCTGGAAGGCAGGAGTCGCGGGGAGAGCGCTGCGCGAGGCGGAGCCCCGGGCTGGGGCAGTCTGCCCTGCAGGATGGCACCCAGAGCTGCCCGCCCGCGTCCTGCCTGTTCCGCGCTCACAGACAGTCATTCCTGCCTTTGCTCCAGTGCCATTACATCGCACCGCAGGTGCCATCGTTTGTCTGGTTTTAGCTCTTCTGGTTCAAGGTATCACATTGCCCCTGTAGATTTATAGGGACAGAAAACATGAATATGCGTGGAAAGCCAAAGGAAAATCCTGTTAAGATTTCCAGCATCTTGTCTTGTAACAAACAAGAGCTGTTAAGAATTCTTGCTTTTTAAGTTGTTAGTTTTTTCATTTTAAGAAAATTCTTTTTTTCTTAAACTGATGCTAATGGGCGTTTTCCTGCTTGCGGTGCAGAGGAACGCACGGCTACATGGCTCCCGAGGTGCTCCAGAAGGGAACCGCGTACGACAGCAGTGCCGACTGGTTCTCCCTGGGCTGCATGCTTTTCAAGCTGCTGAGAGGGTGAGTCCGGGCTCGGCCCCTGCTTTGTCTGCTTGCTTTTAACACGCTCTTCAAACTCGTACCACGTCTGCACTCACGAGTCAATAAGCTTGTTTTTCTTCCAAAACAAATGAATAAAAGCAGCCCTCGAGCCCCGCTGCCCTCGGTAGGCGCACGGATGAGGAAGGCTGGAGCTCTCCAGGCGTGGTGTTTCTCATGACTTCTCCTGAGAGGCAATCCACTCATCCTTTGGCAACAGCTCAGGATTTGAGATGTGGTGATGTTATTATTCATTGCTTAACTGTGCTGGCTGCCCTTTTAGATTATGAGCTTCATTTTGTGCTTAGGATCTTTTCTTAGGCGAAAGACTTCACTGTGTTCTGTTTTTAGCATGGTACTTGGCCTTTTCTTCTGTAGTTTTTGAGTAACTTTTTTTTTTTATAATGTGTGGATGCTTCCAGCTACAGAATTTTGCCCACATGAACGTATTACTGTGTGAAAGTATAATTGTAGCCTTGTCAACTGTCAATAAATTTACAAGTATGATAGATTCATCTGAATGGTCAACACGTAGTAGTTGGCAAGTGTTTCTTGAAAATAGCTTCCTTAGTGTTATTGGTAAAACAGAAATAATCTTTTAAGCTTTATCAGATTTTTCTCTGTAAATGTTTCTCAGCATTTAGCTTTTTCCATGTCCTTGTAATTAGTGATAATCAATTATTAAGTCTTACCTTTATGTATGCTGGGCACCATACGAAGGAAAGTAAGCTTGTATCCAAAGCAAAATAGAAGGCTATATCAATTCAACGTTCTTTAACAGAATAATTGAAGGTATGTGTGTCAATAAATAAAGAAGTGCTGTTTAGATACTCCTTTCTTCTTTGCCATTGAGAGCTGTAGACAGAGCAGTACTCTGTCTCTCTAATCACTCACTGAAGAATTTTATAGGTAGCAAGCTACACAACAGCTCGGGTGTGCTGGGAGGAGAGAAGAGCATTTCAGAACAGACCACTGGGGGCTCCTCATCTTTTATTTTGGGTGCTTTTCCCCCTGAGTCACTCGGGCACAGAGCCTTAGGACACCCACCTGACTGACGGGTGCCTCCTGCGTGTGCTTCAAGTTGCTTGTTGGAGGAACTGGCCCTGGTCGCGCTGCAGAGCGGTGTGCAGGGTGGGATCAGGGCAGCAGGCAGAGCCTTCCTCGTCCTGCACTAACCTTCCTCCTCGGTTGGGAAGCTGATTAAACAACTTGGAGAGCAAAGCAAGGCTTGGGCACATAGTGCTGTGTCTTAGTGTGTAATGCATGTAGTCATTAAAGTGCTGGCAGTAAGTCTGCAGTCAATCATTTGCTTTCCTGATCTCATCAGAGCCTCTTGTCTGAGTATCTGAGACCATGCTCTCAATTTGCTGAGGCAATTAACTCTCGCCTCCCTACCTGACATGCTTAAAAACACAAAAAGGCAGTCCTGATGTGTGTGACAGATCTAGTCAGCAGGTGCAGTTAGAGGACAAATAGGAAATAACTGAAGTAGCAGGTCACCAGTGAAATAAGCCAGTACGTAGTGCCAGGCAGTGATACAAAATGCATTAACATAGGTAATTAATGTACTAATAGGTAGATCTGCTGCCTAGAACAGAGCTGAAAGGTTGCTTTTCTCTGGGTCTGATTTTCATGTCCACCATACGAAGTCATGCTGCAAAAACAGGGAGGATGTGCTTTATTTTATTATTATTATTATTATTATTATTGCTAAGTGGCACAGCTTTCTGCAGTGAAAAAAGAAAAGGAAATGTTAAGAACTCAGGCAATGATATTTTTAAGATGTGACTAGTAGTCACGGTGTTGAACTGTATGTTAGTGTGCAAAGTCTGATTTTTCATTGTCAGTGCTAAGTGTTTCACTGCTAATGCTGTTGTCCTGCAGGGCAGGATGGATGAGGTGGGAGAAGGGGACTGAAAGGAAGCCGCTGCTGCAGTAACCCCATACGCTATGGCTTTACATTTATTAGTGCATTTTCTTATTTCTACAGTCACAGTCCTTTCAGACAACACAAAACCAAAGATAAGCATGAGATTGACCGGATGACGCTCACCGTGGTAAGGATCTTGGGGGCAGTGGCAATTATCTTTTTCATGCCTAGTAAACTGCAGAGCTGACAAAAAGTACCTGTATTTATTCATGAGCTGCTTTCCGGGCAAAGGCTGTATTTACACACGCACAAAGGTTGTGCTTGCAAATGCTATTAAAGAAAAGCTATTTTCCTGTGTGGTAAAAGCAGATCAAAATATTTCTATAGTTTAATGCCTTTTTTTGTACTACTTTTTTTTCCATAGAATGTGGAGTTACCAGATTCATTTTCTCCTGAGCTGAAGTCCCTTTTGGAAGGGCTTCTTCAGCGGGATGTTAGCAAGAGACTTGGCTGCCAGGGGCGCAGGTCGGTGTCTTCTCCTCCTTGCACCTGTAACTTTAAAAACTTTGACTTTTTTACAATGGATGACTTAATATGAAGCAAAAATCAACTTCCTGATAATTTTACTTTAGGAAAGAAAACACTGAAAAGTGCAATTGCATAATATTACATTTGAGCTTGCTTTGATTGTGGAAGCATTACGAAGTTATATCATTAAAGTCACTTCTCTCTTGCCATATGCTCTTTGCAATCATTTTCATTTTTGGAGGAGTTGATATATATCTTATTATGGATGTTAGTACTTTTCCTCCCTGTTCTGTTTTTATGTTGTTTCACCTGATCTGTTTTGACATGGATTTGTGCTATTTGATTAGGGCGTAATGATAGCTAAAACTATTTGTGTTGTTGCAGCTGTTTTGGTAGGAGTTATTCCACAAACGATTCCCAGAAAGCCCCAAGTACTTACTTTGTTTTGGGCTGCCTCTATTTCCAATGGCAAATGTTGTTATCTCCCATATTCGGAGAGAAGCAGGCTCATTGCCGTGAGTCTCTAAGGTGTTGCTAACACCTATTTAAAACGCAATATTTGCCTGATGTGAGGTCAGGAGAGAAAACAGAAGTAAACAACTGTTGAGAAACTGTTGGCAACGTGTGATACCTCTTGAGTAACAGTCAGTCACACCAAAGATGGTGCAAGGTTATTCCAGGGATATATTTGGAGGATTTTATGTCACGGACTCCTTGATGATAATCACCAAGTCTGAGATTACTTTTCAAGCTCAGGCTTATCAAGGGTAGTTTTGCTTGTAAAGTGAGTATATTATCAAATGCAGTAGCGTGAGCATGTTGCTTAGAATGAACCCATAGAATCTGACAACGGAAGAATGGTGTTTGTCATTTGAAGAGATGGTGTGTCACGGAGTGACGAGGGTGATAGCTTCCCAGACTGCAGCACTGCGTGCACTGCTTCCATATTAGTCTTCTATTGTTTTAAAAAAATTACATTAAAAAACAAGTGTTTTAGTGATGTTTTCAAGTGCTGTAAATGCCTGACCTTTGACAGCTTTAAGTTTCTCTGATGTTTTTGAAAAGCCCCTTTGTTTTGTTGACTGCAGTTAATTTATTTTGCAGTGCACAAGAAGTAAAAGAGCATCCTTTCTTCAAAGGGATCGATTGGCAGCAAGTCTATTTGCAGAAGGTAAAGGATTGAAATATTAACTTTAGCTTCAAAGTAAAGCAGTAAAGAAGCCTGTGCAGGTAGCAAAATAGAAAACTTGGGGATTCCTGTCCCCAGCACGGCTACTTGCTGTCAAATGGCTGCCTTCTTTCTTCTGCATGGTTCTCTCTAACCATAACTACTACTTCTTTCTCTTAAAAAAAGATACAGAAGACCTTCTGCTGAAGGAATGGAGAACTGCTTTGTACTGAAATTTGATTTCAAATGACATTCTGTTACACAGTCGTGTGTAATGTGTAGAACACTAGAGAGGAGGTATTTTTCTGCAGAATGGATTTAAATGATGTACATTAATTTATCTGTAATTATGCTACTTTTCTTTCTAGTATCCTCCACCATTGATTCCTCCCCGGGGAGAAGTAAATGCAGCAGATGCTTTTGATATTGGGTCCTTTGATGAAGAGGACACTAAAGGCATTAAGGTACACAAGTGTAAATGATAGGTAAAGAGCCATACTTGAACTGTGGGCTCACCTGGCACATGTGTTTGCCATTTCCCTGCTTCAGGGATACGGACGTGGTTCTATAAAGTGCATAAAGAATTGGTTTTGAGTTTGGAACCTGAATCTCAGCTAATTTTAGAGCATGTTGTTGTGAAATGGTATCTTGGAGTTGTTTGTTGTTTGCTTTTGCTTGCCAAGTCTGTGTCTTTTGGTTACGTTTTAGATGGGCTGACATGCCCATCCAGTGTTTTTGTTGTTCCCTTCTTCAATAGATCCAGCTTTAATCTTGTTAATACAGAAATGAGGCAGGAGAGAAATCAGTTGCTCCAGACTTTCTAGGTTAACTTCTCACTGTGCCTAGAAGAGGAACTCGTCTGTCAGTGTCACCTGTTGTCATTACAGAAGTGGCATAGAAAAGCTTTTACGTGCGTAGAGAGCTGTGTGAAGAGCCCGGGATTAGCCTTGTCCCAGGAAACTCACAGCTTCAGCGTTGCTCTAATGGGCTCCAAAGGCTGGGGCTGTGGGACGCTGCAATTCCAAGGACTGTTTAGCAGGGAGGAGCGAGGCTGCCTCCTGTGCACGTAGTGGTCATCGATTCCCAGCACGACTCGGCCCCGTGAACCATAGAGCCGAATTACCTCGTGTCACCGTGCTCGGGCTGCCCGCAAGCTTTGTTTAGTCCCGAGTCAGCGCGGGGTGTCACCGAGCCCGGGCGGACAGTGCAGTCTAGCGGGCTCGCCGGGCACTTCAGCAGCAGCCTCTGCTCCTGCTTCTCCCAGAAACCCCGATTCTCTCCGGATTAGCGTGGAAGCCATGGAGGAGAGGACGCGGAGAGGGTCAAGTCACCCCAGATTAAAACCTTAGCAGGAAACCCCTGCCTGCTTTTGCACTGCATCAGTGTGTGCAATGGCTAAACCCACAGCATGGCTGTCGCCAAGTGCCACGTGCTCCTTCGTGGGACTGGCAGCGCGAGGTGCCCTCGGGGCGACTCCGGAGCTGTGGTTCATGGCAAGGGAGAGGAGAGGCAAAGCCAGCACCGGGGTTACGAGGTCTGCAGGGTGCACTCGGGAGATGCAGAGATGAATTCTTAAGTGTAATATTAAGCTGGGAAAGCAAGACAAGTGTCTCTGTGTAAACGGTCCCTTTTCATGTTACAGTCCCAGTACCATAGCCTCTATTTCACTTATTTTCTTATGTTGGAGTTTTTCTGCTGAAGAGGTTTTTAATGCGGTTTGGCATTTTTAACGTGCAGCAAAGTTAAGAATGCAACAAAGCTAGGAATGTAGCTGCTTACATTTTAAATGTAATGACTGCAGAACAAGATGGGTCAACCTTGCCTAAGGTAGGCTTTTTAAAGCTATTAAGCCAAAACGTTTTCAACCAGTGGCCTATTTTCTCTATGTAAACTATTACCTGTGCTTAAATTAGTCTATCTAATGTTTGCACCTATTTGTTCTGGCAAGGTTACAGTTCAGTGCATCTTTTAAGATAATAAAATAATGAAAAACCATTGACTGCTGTGGTAAAGAATAGTCAAGCTTATTAAAATGTTGTGTTTTTTGTGTTATTTTTTTCTTTTGCAAGTTGCTCGATAGTGACCAGGAATTATATAAGAACTTTCCTCTGGTAATATCGGAGCGCTGGCAGCAAGAAGTAGCAGAAACAGTTTATGATGCAGTGAATGCAGACACAGATAAAATTGAGGCCAGAAAAAGGGCTAAAAATAAACAGCTTGGCCATGAGGAAGGTAATCTATTAAATGCTTTTTTTTTTTTTTTTAAATCTTCTATTACTGGATACTTGTTCATGTATATGAAGTTTGGAACAACTGACTTTCATATTGCTCTCATTCACCAGGAATAGAATTCGTTTAATCTGTATCATGTTTCTTAATATTTGGAAACACTGTGTGGTGATATAACCCTTTGGAAATCTGCAGCACAATCTTTAAAGATGACTGTGTGCAGCCCCTCATTGCTTTTGTTTGTTGTGTATACTCTGAATGCTGAGGATTTCATTTCATGGCAAAGGGGACTGGAAAACTGTATAGAAAACGTGACTTGTTTGCAAAGGCTGGTGCAGGGCAGATCTTGACCTTGGCATAGCACTGTACAAGGCTCTTAACAGTAAATCAGGCATTATTTTGTTTTGCTTTCAAAGAGCCAAGCTGTGTGCTGGTGGGGCTGGCTCCGTGTGGCCGTGCACGTGGGAGCACTGTTGCAACCCCAGTGCTCGCACGCCTGCTCGCGAGCCCTGCGGAGCATCCGCGCTCTCCGGGCGCTCCTGCAGCGCGCCTGGCACGCTGCCGTGCTCTGCACACTGATGTCTGCTCTCGCCGTAGATTACGCGCTTGGGAAGGACTGCATCATGCACGGTTACATGCTGAAACTGGGCAATCCCTTCCTCACCCAGTGGCAGCGTCGTTACTTTTACCTCTTCCCAAACCGCCTGGAGTGGCGAGGAGAAGGAGAGTCACGGGTGAGTGCGGCCGGGCACCCCAGCGAGCAGTGATGGTGGAAGACAGGGAAGACCAGAGGGTGTCGAGGCAAATCGCAGCCCTTGAGCTCGAGCAGCCCCCATGCAAGCAGAACTGGCCCTTAGTAAAAGACCAGTGGGCTCAAGGGGCTCCTCAGGGTAGCCTCTCCCTGGAAAACTACACTGCACTTGAGAAGCAGAAAGTTGACTTGAGAAATCTGTTTGTTTTGTTTGTATTTTCAAAGGAATTTGGTAGTTCATGGTGTTATTTTTCATTTAGGACTTCTGGAGTATTTATACAAAAAAACATAAACTGGTAAGGTAATAAATGCTATAGCATTTTCTTTGAAATAAAATGCTATAGCAACTTTAGTTTAGTTCAGCTGTGCTCATGTAGTCCAGGTGAATCATTTGTATAGTTATGTAAAGTTTGGGGATTTTCAGAATGTTCTTCTCATTTTTGTAAATATATAGACCTAAAGTATTCCCTTTCAGGCCTTTGATACAGATAGTAAGATTGTCCTTTTTTTCCAGCAAATACTTGAAATACATAAAATTCTATGGAACTCTCTTGTAGGAAAATAGTGCATATTTTGTTTGTAGACACACCTATTTGTAGATTCCTATTTCATACCGTCATTGTTGCCTCTTTTGGCTTTTATTTCCCTGTCTCTGTTTAACCAGCCAGGTCCCTTGCTAAACCTCTCTCTTACCTTATAGTCTATTTTTAGTTCATGAATCAGGCTTCAGAAATAAAAAAATGTTTGTGTAATGACCATCATGTTCATAACTTCATTCATATGGGTAGTCCAGAAACTATTAGCTATTGGCTTTATCTGGTGAGCAACACTAGTTTTTTGCCAAATCATCTCTTATTGTTTGTTTCTCTGCAAATACTCTAGCAAAATCTACTGACAATGGAGCAAATAGTATCTGTTGAAGAAACGCAAATTAAAGATAAGAAATGCATCTTACTGCGAATTAAAGGAGGAAAACAGTTTGTCCTGCAGTGCGAGGTGAGACACTTGTTTTCAGTAACTGCGGATCAGATGTTTTGCATGTGAGTTGTTCCTGTCCTCACATTACATATTGGCTGTGCAACAAATCTAAGGCTAAGCAAAACTAGGGAAGTTCTTCCTATACTTTATGCTGAAAGGAGAAGATCTGCAGCTGCAGCAGTTTGTCCTCACTAAAAGTACAGGTTTCAGTGTTACTTGTATCAAAATGAATTTTGTTTTTCACAGCTCTTAGCATTGTATTACTTCTCCCTAGGCAGCCTTCTAAGACCTTGGTGACGCAGGGGATTAATTGCTGTTAATTTATGGCAACTAAGGTGCTTGTAGGGGATAAAATAGGCAAGTGTCGAGACATTCTGGCCAGCTTTAGTTCTCTTGACTTACCTCGTTGGGGCTGAGTGATGGAAGCGAATGGCTACCTATTTTCAGTATCCAAAGGTACTTGTTTACACAGAAAATGCAAATAAGTTGCTAAAAGTGCTGTACGAAAGAGAAGACAGTGTTGGCAGTTTATGACGAAGTGCCAAACTACTTCTGTATCTCTTTCAGAGTGACCCAGAGTTTGTTCAGTGGAAAAAAGAGCTGACAGAAGCTTTTACTGAGGCCCAGAGGTTGCTGCGCCGGGCTCCCAAGTTTCTCAATAAGTCCCGCTCGACGGTGGTAGAGCTCTCGAAGCCGCCCCTCAGCCACAGGAATAGCAACGGTCTGTAGGAGACAGAGAGAACAACGGTCACGTGGGGAAGGCTACGTGTGGCGCCTCGCAGAATCATTGCTAATGAATTACTTTGTGCAGTCCTGGAAGCAGGCTGTCCTTAGGAGGAGAGGAAGGAGATGTTTACAGCACGGGATGCGAGAACTCGGTACGTGGCGGCCGGGCTCGGCGCGAGCGGGCGGGCAGCCCGGCGCTGGCGGGAGCCGCCGGGCGCCGAGGCCGCGACTTGCTCCCGTGCGCCCCGCACCCTGGCGGTGCTGGCAAACGGGCCGTTCCCCCAGAACTGCTGATGGGAGGAAAATACTGTTCTCTCTGCAATACCCTCGTGAGGTTTATGCCAAGCCTGGAAGCAGAAGTGGCTACTGCTGGTTAGGATTTACACTTCTGTGTCTGATCTCGACGACCCGCTCGACTCTGGAAGGAGCTGCAGACGTGCCGTGTTGGAGGACGTTGAACCTGTCGCGTTGCCATGTTCTTCCCGACCATTACTGCTGACTTTACTGTAACCCTTCTCCATACTGCTGGTCATCAACAGCGTGACTCTGACGCACTTCGAAGTACTGAATTCTACCTGTCCTGTGGTTTAAGTGTTATTGCTACTTCATGGAAACATGGAAGTCAAATTATTCACTTGGTTTGTTGTACTCACTAACAGTAGCTACCACCGTTTTGCTTCTTCTACGTATATGCAGTACTATAACTGACACAATAGAGTAATAATTGGTGAAGAGGAATTTGTGGTAGCTTCATCTAGTGCTCTGTTGTATACATTGACGATTTTAGCACAGTTTTTAAAGAGCAGATTCCTTTCGACAAGTTTACAGTGAATATAAAGACAGTTCTTTTCCATTTCAGGTCAACTGCACTTTTTAAAAATTAAAAAGAAGTTACTCAAATCCAATGCATTCTAGTGCATGTACTGGGTTCAGATGTATGGGTCCTTGGTACGTGTTCTGGATCACTCTTCAGTTACGGGACTTGTGGATCCTTCTCTGTTTTTTACAGAACCATAAGCAAGTGTGTTTGTTCTCTAGCATAAATATCCCCGACTCTCATGGTAGCCCCACTCAGAAGAGCCGCGTGTACCTCGTAAGGCTCAGCTTGCAGGATCTTTAGTTTTCTTCCCTAGACAATTCAGAATGAAAAAAGTTGGAGAAAAAGTTGGAGAAAACTGAGCCTGGAGCTGACAGAATGAGCTGATCAAATGCCAGAGCTGTATTAATTTTACTTAAGACATCAGTCATGTCGTGTGGAAACTGTTGTTTTACAAAAGTGAGGATACAACCTCTAATTGTGAGGCAGCTTTTGAGCGTATGAAGTCACCTTCTCCCTGGTTGATGTGATGAGTTTCTTTTCTTTCTTATTTTTTTTCTCCCCCTCCTATGACAGAGGGGAGTCAGGGCTGACTTTAGGCTGAGTTTAAGCGCTGTCCTGGCTCTGTAACCCCGGGGAAGGTTTCCTGCCGCTTGCAGCGCGGTGGGAATTGCACCCTGGCAGCAGGAGCAGTTCCACCCGCAGGCGCCCGGTTCCTCCTGGGCCCGGTCGCGTCCGGGTTGTGCTGCCAGCAGATCACCAGCGCGCCCGGGCCCATTCCCTTCGAAATACCAGTTGGCAAAATTGCATGGTTCGTTTCGGAAGCGTTTGCTTCTCCTGAAAGCAGATGTATTTGCACCCAAACATGGGATCGGCCAAGCTCTTTGCAAACGGCAAATTCTCTTGCTATAATCTGGCATAGCATAAAAGGAAAGATGCATGTTAGAAAATACCTCATGGCTGTTGGGTAATACTTTTAATGATATTCCCCATTTATTTTTTTTTTTAATTACTTCATAAAAAGAGTACCAAGCTATGAATCCTCCACTCTGGTAAGTGATGTTTAGTGTCTAAGCATCCTCCATAGGGAGTAGTTGTGGTATTTCTGAAATTTGGAATAGAAAATGTCTCTTTTTTGTTGGCACTAACTGTGTACTGGGTGTTTTAAAGAACTTTTTTTTTTTTTTTTTTTTTTCTTGCTACAGTGCCACACAATGCTCTTATTTTTCATGCTTATTTGGAAAGAAAACTCAGATTCTGATAAAATCTACTCTTATTTCTCATGTAACTTATTCTGGGTTTTGGAGTTTGCTGCCTTCTCTGTATTGTCTGTTAATTATTTTGCACAGCTGCTTCTTGTGGTGAAGGGTTTGGGAGCAGCTGCTGGTCCGTGCCGTGACGCCCCGCAGTTGGGGGTTGCTGCTGTCGGGAGGAGGCCGATGTCGGTATCGAGGAGCACGGGTGTCACCCGAAGCCAGGCGGAGCGTTGGTGTCCAGAAGGGTGCCGGGTGGCCCTGGAGCACCTTCCCGGTCGCCGTTCGTGCTTCCCTGGTGGTCGAAGCTCCGGCCGGGCTGGCAGGCGGCGCCGCCGGGACGGGGCAGGCGTCCGTGGGCTGCTGAAGGAGATGCAAAACTTCTTATTGATCATCTCAGGTCAGAGCTGAAGCAAAGCAGCTGTTACCTTTGCGAGCCACGTGCAGCTTGCTGAGAGAGAGCAAGAGCAGGGTGACCTCAGCAAACCCTCGGGTGCCCGTTGGTACTCTTGCTTTCCCAGTGACCAGTGGAAAGAATGGGATCTCTAGAGCTTTGACGTTCAGCTGTTCAAAACAGCATTTGCCACTGCTTTAACAGGTAGTTCCTACTTTAAATACCAAATTCTCTTCTTTTTCCATTTTGCTTGGACAAACATTGCTTTTAGAGCCATGAGCATTGCCTTTTGCCTATCCACATTCACGTTGTGTGTTTTGTTAGACTTTCAGGAAGGAAACTGCGGCTGTGGTGAGGGGGGATGCGTGTAGGCAGCCTCTGCCTTAGGTTTTGAAGTGTAGGGAAGATGTTCCAGTGGGGTCAGGTTGGATGTCCCCCGGTGTAGCCCGTATTCCTTCGGAGCGCAGGGGTTGCCGTCCAGCCGCTCTTCGTCTCTAACGTTATGGGCGTTAAATGCACGAGCGTGGGAGATGAGAATGCAGGCGTGGGAGTTGTGTGGCCTCGAGACACGGCGCGTGGCTTTGGCGCGAGGGCTCGGGACGCGGCGCGTGGCCTTACAGCAAAACGAGATCGAGGAGCTTTCCTGTCGAGAACAAGGGTGGCAAGGGCTGTTCCCAGGAGTGCAGCAATCCCTAGGTACCGCGGGTGGGCTGTGGTGTCCCGGCACTGCAGGTGCCAACCGGGCAAACTGCAGTGTTTAAATTCACTCAGGACTCTTGCTGCGAGTCGGCCGAATCATTAGTGCTTCATCCTTGCTCTAACTCCGGTTTTCCAAGTCCCAAAAGGCTGCTCGCCGCCCTTGCGCCCCTCTCGCAGGCCCAGCCGGCCCGGAGGCTCCGGTTTGGGGCGCTGCTTCTCGCGCTCCGGTGTGGAGGTGGGTCCCGCTGGCGCAGACCGGGCGCGGGGGCCGCTGCGCTGTCGGCACCGCCTGGGCTCCGGGCCGGCTCCGAGCTCGGCACCGGGGCCCTCCCTGGGCACAGCCCGTCTTACCCTCAGCAGTCTCGGGTCTTGCTTCTCTCGCTTTTACTGGAGAAAAACAAAACTACGTAGGGTCGATTGCTTTTGTTCGCTATAAGCGCGGGCGTTTGCAGTCCGCTGGGTAGGCAGTGGGAAGTGTTGTGGACTTGGTGCTAAAAGCCGTTTCACCTGAGCCGTGCTCCCGTAAAAACGGCTGCTGTTGCTCTGTCGAAAGAGCACCCGGGGCTGCTGATGCTGCCCTTGGAGCATCGGGAGCGGGGCTGGCGGCTCCCGCGGGAGCAGGAGGGCACCGGGGCGCGAGGGCACCCGATGCACCCGAGGGCGCCTGAACTCCGCTCCTGCGGCTCCTGCCGAGCTGTGTGTCCGGAGCTGTGTCCGGAGCCCTTCCCGCAGCAGGCGCCCCAGGCGGTTCCTTTAACTCCCCAGCGCCCGCGCTCCAAATAGCTCCCGAGCCAGGGCTATTTTGAGCTGTACAGTAGCAAGTCAATACTACTGGTTGTGTGGATGAGATGAGTCCATTCTACGGATGAAAAAAAAAAAAAATCTGAAAAACGTATTTTGAGAAAGCATAGTATTAATTTTAATATTGTAAAAAGTGGAAAAATAGCTAAAATATGCAGAGAACATATGTATATCTAAGGGTCAGGAATTCAGGATGATCTACTTCTGTTTTCTGTTCGTTTCTCTTCCATGGTGTACATATTGTGTGGATTGAACATTGGCTGTTTTAATACTATTGTTAAATTGTATTTTTATTTTGTGTTAAACTAATCATCACAGACTCGGCTTTATTTTGTTTATGTAAAGGTTGCTATGCGATGTAGGTATAAAACCAAGAATTCTATTTTAACAAAAGAAAAAAAACATTTTATATTATTTATTAAATACATGTTTCTCCAACTTCTGACATTCCATAGAATTTCTGCTCCGTGTATGTGTAGCTCGTTTGAAGAAACGGCAGTTCCTTTCAAATAGGATCGGCTTTATTCTGTTTTTCGTAATAAAGGCGAGCGGATTCCCGTCAGTCTGTCCCGTTCAGCACGTCATTCTCAGCCCGTGGATTTTAATGCATTTGTGAGTGGATCTGCGAGCGCAGTGGCTGGTGACTGCAGGAGCGTCCCAGCAGTGCCCGTCCCGCTTGGCCGATGCCTCCAGTTTTCCCTGTTATCCCCAGGCAGGCGGTGGGTGAGCTTCGCTTGCCCAGGAGTGGTGCCGGTGCCGGGTGGAAGCCGCCGGCCGGGCGGCTCCGGCGCTTCCAGGAGGACCCTTCCCTGGCAGGGCACAGGAGGCAGCCGAGCCCCGGAGCCCAGCGCTGCTCGTGCGGAGCGTGACTTTCCACCAAAAAGAGGTGTTCTGTCCTTAAACCCCCGAGGTGCCGCCCCGAAGGCAGGGCCTTGTCCCAGGGGTCCCTTGGGTCCCTCATTCCCTCCGTGCCGGGGAGCCGCATCCCGGGGAGGGGCGGCCGGGGCCTGCCTGCCCCGCGAGCAGCCCCGGCAGGCACCAAAATAGCGCGAGCTCCGAGCAGCTCAGTCCCGGAATACCAGCGGCCGCCGTGGGCAGCGGCGCTGGGGCCGAACGTCCCCCAGCCCCCCCTGCCCATTCCCTGTTCCCACCTCCCTGCCCGGAGCAGCCGGAGCCGGGCACGGAGCCCCATGCGGCTGGCGAAGTCCCCGGCACGAAGCTGCCCACCCCGGAATGCAGCACCAAAATGCAGCGAGGGGCGTTGTGCCCCGGGCTGGGATCCGCTCCGAGGCAGAGCCCGGCTTCCCTGCCCCGCTCAGGAACAGGACGAGCCAAACCGAGCCTGAAAAACAGAATAAAGTAAGAATATCCTAGGAGAGGCGTCTTCTGAGCACTGTTTTAGTGACTAAATACAGTTAAAAAAAAATCAGAGGAGCAGATTCACACAAAAAGCTACTAGTGATTTTAAAAATATATATATTGAAAGAGAACCTGTTTTCAATGTGTAATTTAATGGTAAGAAAAGCCAGTATCTGTAAATAACTTTAGATATTGTATCTATGAGAATCACTGTTTTATGTACCTTGCTCTTTTCCTATTTATTGTGCGGGGCTTGTTCCTTGCTGCTGCCCGGCCCGCGGCGCGGGGCTGCTCCCGGCGCTGCCGGGGGCCGCCGGGCTCTAAAGGACTCTTTGGGAAGAGCTAAGCTGCTTCTGTGTGTTGGTCAACTGCTCTCGTGCAAAGAGAAATCCAATAAAAAGTCCTTTGCTGTGCGGTGCCGTTTGGTTCTTTGCGGCCCGCGTCGCCCGGGCGGTGGCTGCCGCGGTGCCTGGCTCAGGTAAGTGGCACTCGGGACAGTTCGAGGGTTCTGGACGGAGGGGTTTTAGGGCAGAAAGGGGAGCGAGAGCTCAGGCAGTGAAGGCGGGACTGGGTGCTACGGACATGCATTGGTGCCAGGGCAGCCTGTGCCGTCACGGTGGCCGTCACCACGCGCCCTCCGCTTGTCTCTTTGCAGGTGCGGGTGGCCGCGGTGCCCGCGGACAGGTCCCGTGCGCGGCCTCCCCGGCCCGGCGCCTCCTGGCCCGTGCAGCCAGGCCCGGCTCTTATCAGGTGCTGCTGCGCGCCGCCGAGGAGCCGCGGGGCCCGTGCTGGGTGCGCGCGGAGCCGCAGCCGCACCAGGTCTGTGTCGCTGTCGCGCGGCCCCGGCAGGGAGCCCCGCGCCCGCCCCGACCCGCGTGGCACCGCGGTGACGCTCTCTTTCCGTGGCAGGGGCTATTTTGGGCGCTGCGCTCAGGTCGGTGGCGGACGGGGGCAGCCGGGCCGCCCCAGCGCGTCCCACCCGCCCGGCACCGCGGCCGCCCGGGGCTGCCGTGTCCCCGGGACCCCGGGGCTGCCGCCACCCCCGTCCCGGCCGGGCTCTGCGCTCGCTCCCGTCACCTCAGAGCGCAGCCCCAGCGCCCGCGGGCCGAGGGGCAGCTGCAGGGAGCAGCTCGGGGAGGAAGAGGCAGGGGGTGCGGGCAGGGAGGCTGCGCAGCCCCAGTCCCGGCGGGCCGGCGGTGGCGGCACAGGCGCCCCGCGGCCCCCTCCCCGCCGGGTATTTTTAGCGGTGACGGTGACATGTGTCGGCCCAGCTGCCGCCCAGGGGCGGGGAGGGCAGCGGAGCAGCCCGGCCGCCGCCGCCGCCTCTCGCCGCTTCGCTGCTGCTGTCCCGCCACGAGGGTCCCGCCGCCGGCCGCGCGCCCACCCCTGCGCCCGCACAGGTACCGCCCGCGCCCCCCGCTGCCTCCCCGGGACCCTCACCGCCGGCACGGGGCTTTTCCAGGTGGGAGCCAAGGGCGGCAGGAGCTGCCGGTCGTGCTGGCCGCTCCGGCAGGGAGGAATGACGTGGGCTGTGCCGGGGATCCCGGGGCCTCCGAGGCTCCTGGGCAGCCCCGTCCCCACTCTGGGTTCCCCAGTCCGGTCCCAGTGCCCGCGGGGAGCCCCCAGCCATCCCGGTGGTGCCCCCGGGCAGCTCCGGCTCCGCACCGGGCGCCCAGGCCAGGCAGGGCCCCCCGCGCCTCCCTCGTCCCACGCACGGGACGGGGCTGCCGGTGCCGTCACCGTCCCCGGCTCCGCGGCCGCACGCGGCGGCTCGAGGCAGCGCTGGGGGCCCCGAGGGCTCCGCAGCGCCCGGATCCGAGCCCCCCCGCGGCGCTGGCAGGGCCCGGCACGCGGCACCGAGGCCTTCGCCCAAGAAGGCAAGTGACACCGGTCAGCTGGGCCGGGGGCCGTTCCTGGCACTCCTGCCCTTTACTGTACATGGAAATACCGCTCGCGCCGCGGTACCGGCCAGCGCGGCGGCGGGGCCGCCACGGCCCTGGGCCGCGCGGTGCGTGAATGATGTGCACAGGTGAAGGCTGCACCGGCCCGAGCCCCGGCTCCCCGCGGCTCCCGCACGCCCGGCCGGCACCGCGGGGCTGGGGGGGAGCCTGTGTGGCTGTGGGCGCGGAGCTGGGCTGCGGTATCCGCAGGGATCCTGCTGTATCCATAGGGATCCCGCTGTATTTGCAGGAATCCCGTATCCTGCTGTATCCGCAGGGATTGGCAGCGGCACCACGCCGGAGCCGCACTCGGTGCCCACCTCACTAACGCTCTCCTCTCTGCTCTCTCCCTCTCTCCGGACCCGGCGCGGCCCCGTCAAGCGCCCGCGGTGCCGCCGGCCCCGCCGCCATGGCCATCTCCTCCCGCCTGGCGCTCTGGGAGCAGAAGGGAAGTGTGTGTCGGTGCTGCCCGGCTCGCGCCGCCTCCTCGCGCCCTGCTCGGCACAGCGGGCCCCGCTGCTCCCCGCTCCCTTCGGCCGCTTTGGGGCAATTCCCCACTCGCTGGGCCATGCAAAGGCTGCTCCCGGCTGCCGCGGCTGGTCCCTGCATGGTGGCGCATCCAGAGGGCCTGGGAGCAGCTTGCTGGGACACCTGGGGATGCAGCCCCGGCCTGGGGGAAGGAGCTGCGAGTGCCCCAAGTCAGGGCCACGCGCGGACTGGAGCTCGCTGCTCCTTGGCGGCGCAGAGCAAAGGCACCGCCGGCACCGCCGGGGCTGCGGCCCGGACCTGCAGGCGCCACGTGCGCCGGTCTGGCTGCCCCGGAGCTGGTGGCGCCTGGGATCTTAGCGGGGCTTCTTTGCAGGGCTGCTTCTCTCTGTGCTTTTCTTGGTGCTGCTCGCGGAGGCCTCCTCGTACGGGCCTGGTTGCTGCCGTGAGCAGAGCCGGGGCAGCGCGGAGCTCGTTAGTGAGCGGAGTGGAGTGGAGCTGAGCAGAGCAGGGCTGGGGCCTTCCCGCTCTCCCTGCTGTGCCGGCAGGAGGCTGGCACTGCCCATGCTGGCACTGCTGATGCTGGTGTCCCTGGAGCTGGTGCTGCTGGGTCCGGGGCTGGCGCTGCCGATGCTGGTGCTGCCGATGCTGGTGTTCCTGGTGCTGCCGGGACCGCGGCTGGCACTGCCAGCTCTCAGGCTCCGCTGCCTGCACGCCGGGCACGGCGAAGCCTCTCCCCGTGCTGGCCGTGCCCCCCATGCTGCCCCTCCAACGGCACCTTCCCTCCTGCCAACAGATCCGGGAGGAGGACCGGAGCCCGCCGCCCTCCTCCCCGCCGCTGCTCTTCTCCGTCATCCCCGGGGGCTTCATCAAGCAGCTCGTCCGGGAGACCGAGAAGGAGTCCAAGGAAGCCAAGCTAAGAAAGCAAGCCAAGGAGCACACGAAAGAGGATGTAAGTAGCAGACGAGTCGCACGCGGGCTCCGCACAACCACGTGCGGTGGAGCCCCAGGGAGCCCCAGGCCTCTGCTGGGCAGACGCGGGCCAGGGAGCTCACAACTCCGCTACCGGGGTTTGCCATCCGAGCTTTGCTTAATTGCAAGGCTAGTAATTAAGCAGAGGGAAACGTTCCCTGGTTCCCTTTTCCGGGCGCGCGAGGGGAGCGCGCGGGGCTCCCCGGTCCCGGCGGCAGGTCAGCGAGCGCGCTGGGCACCGGGTGGGCACTGGGCGGGCGCCGGGCACCCTCGTGCGCCCTGCTGAGGTCGCTCTGCTGTGTCCGCAGCCCGCGGGGCCGGGCGTCCCGCGCGCCGAGGGAGCCGCGCCGAGCGCGG